CTCAGCCTGGCCTGGTTCAGGTGAGGCTCAGGTGTTCCCAGGTGTTCCCAGGTGAGCTCAGGTGAGCTCAGGTGCCGCTCCCCGCAGGCTGTGGGTGCTGGCCATGGTGGGGCTCAGCCTGGCCTGGCTGCCGGTGGTGGAGGCGGCGAGGGGGGGGCAGCTCTTCGATTACATCCAGGCCCTGTCCTCGTACTTGGCCCCGCCCGTGGCCGCCGTCTTCTTCCTGGCCGTGTTCGTGCCCCGCGTCAACGAGCCCGTGAGTGCACCTGGGCACACCTGGGGGGGTTAAATGGGGTCTGGGGCTCACCTGGGCACACCTGGGCACACCTGGGCACACCTGGGGGGTTTAAATGGGGTCTGGGGCTTAGCTGGGCACACCTGGGCACACCTGGGCACATCTGGGGGGGTTAAACGGGGTCTGGGACTCACCTGAGCACACCTGGGGGCACCTGGGATAGACCTGAGCACACCTGGGCACATCTGGTGTGGTTTAAAGGGCACCTGAGCACACCTGGGCACACCTGGGGGGATTTAAAGGGCACACCTGGGCACACCTGGGCACAGCTGGGGGGATTTAAAGGGCACACCTGGGCACACCTGGTCACAGCTGGGGGGATTTAAAGGGCACACCTGGGCACACCTGGGCACACCTGGGGGGATTTAAAGGGCACACCTGGGCACACCTGAGCACACCTGGGGCCAGACGGAGAGGGGATAAAACCCGGGGATTCCGGGGCGGGTTCTGGGGAGGATCTGGGGGATTTGGGGCGTTCCCAGGTGACCCCAAATTCCCCCAAATTCCCGTTTTTTGACCCCGAGGGCGCCTTCTGGGGGCTGCTGGGGGGGCTGGGGCTGGGCCTGGCCCGGCTGATCCCCGAGGTCCTTCTGGGGTCGGGGTCGTGCGGGACCCCCGGGCGCTGCCCCGCCCTGCTCTGCGGCCTGCACTACCTGCACTTCGCCGTGCTGCTCTTCCTGCTCACCTGCGCCATCGTCCTGGGCGTGTCCTGCTGCGCCCCGCCCATCCCCACCGCGCACGTGAGCCCCGACAGCGGCGGGGGCGCTCCGGGGGGTTTGGGGGGAAAAAAGGGGAAAAAGGGGAAAAATGGGGAAAATGGGGAAAAAGGGGAAAAATGGGAAAAAAGGGAAAAATGGGAAAAATGGGGAAAAAGGGGAAAAAGGGGGAAAAAGGGGAAAAAAGGGGGAAAAGGGGGAAAAATGGGGAAAAAAGGGGAAAAAAGGGAAAAAAGGGGAAAAAAGGGGAAAAAGGGGAAAAAAGGAAGAAAGGGGAAAAAGGGGAAAAAAGGGGGAAAAGGGGGAAAAATGGGGAAAAAAGGGGAAAAAGGGGAAAAAAGGGAAAAAGGGGGAAAAGGGGGAAAAAAGGGAAAAAAGAGGGTGGGAATGGGGTAAAATGAGGTGAAAATGGAGGGAAATGAGGTTGGGATGGGTTGGTGAGACTGAAATGAGGCGAAATGAACCCAAAATGAACCCAAAATGAGACAAAATAAGGCAAAATGAGATCAAAGTTTTGGGTCAATTTTGCCGGATTTGGGGTCAATTTTGCTCAATTTGGGGTCAATTTTCCTGAATTTTGTGTCGATTTTGCTCAATTTGGGGTCGATTTTGCCAGATTTTGGGTTGATTTTTCTGGATTTTGTGTCGATCCAGCTGCACAGGTTGGTGTTCAGCCTCCGGAACAGCCGCGAGCCCCGAATCGACCTGGACGCGCCCAAGGAGCCCCCCCAGGATCCGGGGGTTCAGCTCGGGGGTAAGAAGGGGGGAAACCCCAAATCTGGGGGCTTTGGGACAGAAATCCGGGATTTTGGGGGTCCCTGGGACCCCAAATTTCCCATCCCCCCCTTCATTCCAGACTTGGAAGCGGCTCCAGGGGCGGGGCCGGGAGCTGGGGGCGTGGCCTCGGGGTTGGGCGTGGCCCCGGCTGAAGCCACGCCCCCCGAGGATCCCAAATGGAGCCGCCTGGTCAACATCAACGCCCTGGTGCTGATGGGAGTGGCCTCTTTCCTTTGGGGCTATTTTGCCTGAAATCACCCGAAATAAACCCGAAAATCCTCCCCACACGAGCCGTGATGGAATTGCCAAAAAAACCCCAAGAGTGACACAAAAAAACGGTGAAAAACGGGATCCAAAACAGACCCAAAATAGACCCAAAATGAATCCAAAACAGACCCAAAATGGACCCAAAACAGACCCAAAAAGGACCCAAAAAGGACCCAAAACAGACCCAAAACAGACTCAAAACAGACCCAAAAGAACCCAAAACAGACCCAAAACGGACCCAAAATGAACCCAAAATTCCTCAAAACCCCTCCCTAAAACTGCCCCAAATCCTCCCAAAAATTCCTCAAAACCCCTAAAACTGCCCCAAACCCTCCCAAAACTCCACCCAAAAATCCCACCCCAAAACCCCCCCCCAAAATTCCGTCAGATCCTCCCAAAAACGACCGAATCCGCCGAAATTCCGGAATTTATTTTCTTTTCCCGCGCCGTTTCCCGCTGGGGAAGGGGGGGGAAAAGAAAATAAATTCCGGAA